CAGCCACTGGCTTAGTTCATAATTTCTTGCCTGTGCTTTCAGGAAAGCTTCCTAAGGGGTCGCTCTGCTTCTGTTCTTGCCCTCCTGAAATTAATTAGTTCTTAGCCCGCTGTCAGAATATCTTGGTAAACTGCAGATCTGATCATGCCAGTCTCCTTTGTGAAATCCTGTGCTGGCTCCTCATCACACACAGGATACAACCTAAATCCTCCCAGGCCCTTTGTAGTGTGCTCCTGGCCTTCCACGGTAGATCTCTCTCCTGCCGCTTCTCCCATTGTCCCTTGCGTTCTGATCGAGTCAGAGGGCTTAAGACCTCAGGCTTTGGGGTCAGAGAGACGTGGGGCAGCATGCGTGTTATGCTGTGCCCTTTGCTATCTGTGAAGCCTTGGGCAAGTTGTTCTTTTTTATTTAGCCTTGTTGAGCCTCACTTTCCTTATTTGAAAAACCGGGAAAATATTTTCTACCTCTTGGAGAGGGCGAGGTGAGATGATGTATATACAGCATTAGGACCGTTCTTGGAACATAGGAAGTGTTCAGTGAATATAAACTTTTGCTGTCATAATGAATTCTCTGCACCCACCGTGTTCTTCCTGCCTCTTTGCCTTTGTGCATGCTGTTTCTTCTGCCTTCTATTCCCTTATCCTGGTGAGCTCCTGCTTATTCTTGAAGAGCCCTCTCATTGATTCTTTACTCTGATGCTTTCCCTGATCTTCCAAAATAAGGTTAGTCATCCCTACCTTGGTTTCCTGTTGTACCTCCTGTTGCTTAAGGTGCTTCACACATTCTACAACCATGTCTTTATGTGTTTGGCTTCTTAGTGAGGCTCAGCTGGAGTTCAGGACCTTGTGTAATCAGGCTTGTAGCCCTAACAGTTAGCACAGTGCCAGCCCATGGTAGGTGTTCAATAAGTGGTCATTGAATGTTGGAAAGGCCTTCACTTACATTCCCTGGTACTCGATCTGTCCTCTGGAACAAGGCAGAATAGGGCTTTCAAATATATATATATACATATATATATATATATAGTTACAGTAATAACAGCAACTCACATTTATTGAGAGCTTACTATGTTTTAAGTATTTTACATGTATTGAATAATTTATTCTTCTTATTTTTTTTTAAAGATTTTTTAATTTATCTGATAGAGAGAGACACAGTGAGAGAGGGAACACAAGCAGGGGGAGTGGGAGAGGGAGAAGCAGGCTTCCCGTGGAGCAGGGAGCCCGACGCGGGGCTCGATCCCAGGACCCTGGGACCATGACCTGAGCCGAAGGCAGACGCTTAACGACTGAACCCCCCAGGTGCCCCTTATTTTTATTTTTTTAAAGATTTATTTTTTCTAGAGAGAGAGCCAGTGCAAGAGTGAGTATGAGCGGGGGCGGGGCAGAGGGAGAGAGAAAATCTCAAGCAGACTCCCAGCTGAGTGTGGAGCCAGATATGGGGCTCGATCTCGTGACCCTGAGATCGTGACCTGAGCCGAAATCAAGAGTCAGAGGCCTGACTGAGCCACCCAGGTGCCCCCCATGTATGACATAATTTGATTCTCACAACCCTTTGGGATAGCCCTTGTTATCTCCATTTTACAGATGAGAAAACTGAGGCAGCTTGCCCTGCTGGTAAGTGGCAGAGCTGGGATTCAGAGGCAAGAATGTTCCCAGGCCTGTGCTCAGTTGCCACTACATAACCACCTCTCATTTCTCCCACCTTCTGCCCAGTGCCTTCTTCAGTAAGTGCGCTTGTCCCTGCTGTACCTTCTCTGTAACTGGTCCAGCAGAGGGGAGGAAATCCGGACGCAGGGAACTCGCATTATGCATATGTGTGCGTGAGTACGTTCTGTTCGCTTGCACGTGTTTTTACTCCTCATCCCATCTCTAGTGCCAGCAAGAAGTAAACTTAATAGGTGCTCCGTAAATATTCTCGAATGGATAAATGATCTCTAGTAGCCGTTAGAGGCATAGGATTTCTCTTCCCACCACCTTCCTCATTCCTACAGCCCCTGTCCTTTGGGTCCTGCCCTTACCCACATCCTTTCTTAAGGCAAAGGGAGGAGGTAGAACATAGCCCACCCACATCTTCATTTTTTTCTGACGGAAGATTTGTTTGATATTGGAATGATCCGTGAATTTAGATTTTCCTGGTTTTTCCTGACCTTTAAATATAGCTAAGTAGGTATTCTGCCTCAAAGAGATTTTACTTGCCCCATGTTTTCCCGAGGTGAGATATGTCTAGGGATATGTGACATCTCTCAAATGTGGGATTTCTCAAATGATCTGAGATGGCTGATACAGTGCCTTGTGATAGATCACTGCCCTGTTGGACTGAATGGTGGCTAGCCTGATGTCCCCAGAGATCCTCTCCCTTTCCCTCTCCTCCCTAACTCAGAGAATTCAAGGTTCCGGTGGCTCCTTAAGCCACATCAACCACCCTGGTTTCTGGTACCTTTCTGCTCTGCTTTTCCAGAGTCGGTGACCCCACTTCTCTCTGACTGTGTGTGGAGGGAACATTACTTGCACAGGGTGTTATGGGTTCTTTGGGTAGGAAGCAGATCTCCACTTGGGTTGATGTACTGCAGAGGAGAATGCTTCTTCCATTAGCCTGTCTTCCTGAGGCACGAAGTTAGTGCTTGGAGGTGTCACAGTGGGAATGAGAGGGGGGCAGAGCCTGACTCCCTTGGCTGCAGTGGGCTGACAGAGGCAGCCATCTCTCATGAGTCCTAAGGTGAGATACCTTCCTTGCTCATCTGTCAGCTGTCAGGGTACAGAGAGGACCATAGTAATGGTCCCTCCTATATCCTGTGCTGTTTATCAGGGGTCCCTCTCTAGGGGTCTGGGGACAGATTCAGAGCCGCCAGATCGGGCACATGAGCACTCATTAGAGGACGCATCCTGACCTTCTTTTGGATGACAGGGTCTTGCTGCTCCCTGCCCCAGCTATAAGAGGGCTGCGTTGTGCTCGCTGCTCCCGGTGGAACAGTGTCAACTTCTGAAGAGGTCAGGCCCTGCTTCTCTAGGCTCCTGTCGGTCACATCAGGGTGGCGACAGCACTCCCAGCAGTGCCATACACCACAGCCACTTTACAGGGTGACTCGTCTCTGCATCATCGGGAGCTTCAGTGTGGGAGCTGCCGTAGGGAAGAGTTGTGACCCGGGGTCCTGAGGTAGTTATAGGAGGAGGGATTGGAAGGGAGGAGTAATTCTAGAACGGGGCCAGCTTGTCCGTTGAACAATTCGACGCTGTCCCATCCCTGGAGCTACAAACCTTGGTTTCCAGTTGGAAACTTTCCACCCCCGTCCCCCTTCCTGATCCTGTTAAACCTGCCATTGCAGCATCTGTCCCTTCTGCCTTCTTTCTGCTTCTGCCCTTGTTTAAGGCCTTGTTGTCTTTCCCCTGGATGGCGGCCTCCTCCGTGGTTCTCCCGACACCAGTCTCATTCCCCCGGTCCTGCCATGCCCCTCCTGCCAGCCTTCTCATCCTAGAAAAAGGCCACTCTGTGCCACTTTCTTTCACCAAAGCCCTCAGTGGCTCCCCTCTGCCACAAGGGGAGAGGCGAGACTCTTTCGCATGGTCTGCACGGCTCTCTGCCACGACCTGGCTTTCCACCCTAGCCCCTGCTGTGCCTGCTGGTGTCCAGCACTCCAGAACCGCTCGTCTGCACCCCGACGCCCCCTTGCCTAGAACACCTCCTCCACTTACACGACTCTTGACTGCCTCTGGTCCCCAGCCCCTTGAAAAAGCCTGCCTTCCTCCCTTCAGCGGGAATGTTCCTTCTCTCTCAGTACCTCCAAGAGCAAGATGGTTTTATTCCCCTTCTGCCTTCTACTGTTGAAGTTGTGTTTGCTACTTCCACTAGATCGTAAGCTCCCTGAGGGCATTGCTGAATGCAAATAGGGATGTGTGTTGAGACAGTGTGACCACACTGGGATACATTGGTATATGGGAGGGGTGTTGCTAGTTCCTTTGGTGTTTCACTAGGGTTTTCTAGCTGGGGGTCCTATACTGTGAATTATTTCTCCTGTGTTGGGGGCGGGTATGAAGTCAAACTCTTGAGAGGGCTGGGTTTCCAGATCTTTTATGACCCACCGAGTGTTCAGCAAGCCTTTGGGAGGTGTGTCTCAAGGAACTTTCCCAGGTGCAGAGCCTAGAAGGCCTGAGTTCTGAGCCGTTGGTCCCACCCTTCGCTGTCCCTGGAGTTGGAAAATCCCCGGCTAAGTTGGCTTGCATGGTCTGGTCTGATCCAGGTGCTCCAGGACGCAGCTCCAGTTTTTCCCCTTTTAAGCTGGGTCACTGATGTTCTCTTTGGGTGCAGGTCTTTGGGACCTAGGTGTTCGAGCCCAGATCAATCATGGCGGGAAGACCCATCCGCATAGGAGACCAGCTGGTTCTGGAGGAAGATTATGATGAGACCTACATCCCCAGTGAGCAAGGTAAGAAGTCTGGGGTGCCCTGTAATAGTTCTTCGAGGGCAGGAATTATCTCTGATTGAGCTTTGTCCTTCTAATACGAAGTACGCTGCGTGTGCAGGGCCTCTCCGTATATTTGGTTAGATCAGGGGTTGGAATACTGTAGTCTATGGACCTAACCTGGCCTGTTGCCTTCTTGTAAATAAAGTTTTATTAGAAAATAGCCATGCTTATTTGCTTATGTATTGTCTGTGGCTGCTTTCATGGCACAAGGGCAGTGTTGAGTGGTTGTGACAGGAGCCCTATCACCCACAAAGCCTAAAATATTTACTCTCTGGCCCGTTACAGAAAAAGTTTGCTGACCTTGGGTTGGATCAGTGATTAATGTAATTTTTAAATTGTTATTTATTTTTATTTATTTATTAGAGAGAGAACGAGCATGGGGAGAGGGAGAAGCAGACTCCCCACTGAGCAAGTAGGCTGGTGTGGGGCTCTATCCCAGGACCCTGGGATCACGACCTGAGCTAAAGGCAGACACTTGATCGACTGAGCCACGCAGGTGCCCTGATCAATGATTGATTTTAAATGAAAATATAGGGGTGCCTGGTTGACTCAGTCGGTAGAGCATGCGACTCTTGATCTCAGGGTTGTGAGTTCGAGCCTCACATTGGGCGTAGAGATTACTTAAAAATAAAACCTTAAAATAAATAAATGAATGAATGAATGAGTAAATAAATGAATAAATACATATTTTAAAAGTGAAGTCTGTCTTAAAAAAAAGAAAGAAAGTATAATAGGGGATACCATGAAATACAGTGTGTCCTGAAGCCAAGGGTGGCCCAATTTCTTTTTTTTTTTTAAGATTTTATTTATTTATTAGAGAGAGAGAGAGAGAGAGAGAGCACGAGAGGGAAGAGGGTCAGAGGGAGAAGCAGACTCCCTGCTGAGCAGGGAGCCCGATGCGGGACTCGATCCCGGGACTCCAGGATCATGACCTGAGCTGAAGGCAGTCGCTTAACCAACTGAGCCTCCCAGGCGCCCCTGGGTGACCCAATTTCTTAAGAAGAAAACTAAAGCAGTGTTTTGTTTTGTTTTGATACAGCAATAATAACAGAATGTACTGAGTGCTCCTCTGTGCCAGTTTCTGTGCTAAGAACTTTACATGTATTTCCTTTGCTTTTTTAAGGTTTTTGTTTTTTTTTTTTAACTTATTTAAGTGATCTCTATACCTAACGTGGGGCTTGAACTCAAAACCCTCAGATCAGGAGTTCATGCTCTTCAGCTGAGCCAGCCAGGAGCCCTACATGTACTTCCTTTTCAACCCTCGCAGCAGCTCCATGAGTTAGGTAGTGTTATCATTCCCATTTTACAGATGAGGAAATGAGGCACAGGAAGGTGAACTAACTTCCCTTCATGCACAGGTCTGCTGCGTGGTGCAACCAGGACCCACAGCCAGGTGTCCTCAGGAAAGGGCCCGCATGTTAGCCTTCCTATTTATGGTCCACTTTGCACCAGAGTGTTCTTACAGTGTAAAACAGATCATATCAGGGCTCTGCTTTTAGTAATATTCTATTATATGCAGTGTAGCCACTTGCCACAGGCCCTTTGCACCTGGTCTTCTGCCTGAGTGCTCTTTCCTCTGCTCTGCATGGCTAGCTCCCTTGTCTCCTACAGGTTTCAGTTGTGTTCCATTCTGAGAGGTTTCCCTTGACCCTTTCCAAAGGAGTGCCCCCTTCACCTTGACGTTTTCTATCTCATACCTCATTTACTTCCTTCATTACCTTTATCAGAAACTTTAATTCTTTGTATATTTATGTGTTTACTTCTTTACTGGTGGTTTCTTCTCCTAGAATATAGACTCCATAAGGGCAGAGACCATTTCTCTTATGCATAGCACATAGGAAGCACTCAAAAAATATTTGTGAGATCTGCGAATAAGTTAGTCTCTGGCAAGCCAAATTCCAGCTGGTCCTTTGAAAAAGCGCTTTTTCTTCCCTAGTCCCCAGGTGTGTCAACCTCCACATTCTTCCCTGAGATGACCCAAACTGGTGATGCCTTTCTGGCCTGGGCTATTGTCATCTGAAGCATCGATGTATTTATTTCATTATTCCTGGGGGGCTCTGGTGACATATTCCAGTGGTTAGTTCATCTATCTTTTTCCCTGTAAGTAAGCTAGCTCTTAGCTCAGTACATACATCTCCCCTGTTCCTCCAGATCTCTGATGAAAGAGCTTTCTTTTTTTTTTTTTTTTTAAAGATTTTATTTATTTATTTGAGAGACAGAGAGAATGAGAGAGAAAGCACATGAGACGGGGGGAGGGTCAGAGGGAGAAGCAGACTCCCTGGTGAGCAGGGAGCCCGATGCGGGACTCGATCCCGGGACTCCAGGATCATGACCTGAGCCGAAGGCAGTCGCTTAACCAACTGAGCCACTCAGGCGCCCTGAAAGAGCTTTCTAAATGCTTTCTGAAGGAGTATAACGCAAGTCTCAGAGTCCATAATATATAGCAAAATTGGAAAAGAAACAACTACCTTCATGTCATGGGAGAGAGTGTTCAGAGTGGAGAACAAGGCTGCTTAAGTATCATCCCACTTGCTCAGCTCAGATGTCCCCTGGCCCCATGCAGAAGAAGTCACTGCTTTGTCTCTGCTCCTGTGGCACACAGTGCATATCTCCATTCAAACACCTACCCCATGGTTTAGACTCTGTTCCTGTGTCAGTAGGGTCCTCAAGGGGCTTCGTCTTCTCTAGTTCAGTCCATGCTAGTTGATTGAGTGACGAGCACTTTTGCAGCAAGATTTTGGAAATCTTGGGAGAGCCTGTGTCCCAGTAAGGCTGCCCTCATTCAGGATGGTTCTGGCTGTGGCTGGTGGGCTTCTTCCCCAGGCCCCTGCCACACTGATGTCTTGGTCTTTTTTTTTTTTTTTTTTTTAATATTTATTTATTTGACAGAGAGACACAGTGAGAGAAGGAACACAAGCAGGGGGAGTGGGAGAGGGAGAAGCAGGCTTCCCGCGGAGCAGGGAGCCCGATGCGGGCTCGATCCCAGGACCCTGAGATCATGACCTGAGCCGAAGGCAGACGCTTAACGACTGAGCCACCCGGATGCCCCTGTCCCTGGTACTTCTGACCAACAAGCGAGACACCCGAGTCTCATGCCCCCCTCTTTGGGTTAGATAATTTGCTAGAACAGGCCACAGAACTCAGGGAAACACTTAAAACTTCTGTGTGCCAGTTTATTATATAATAAGAGATATCATAACAGATACAGATGAATAGCCAGATGAAGAGATACTTAGGGTGAGGTCTGAGAGGGCCCCAAGTGCAGGAGCTTCTGTCTCTGCGGGCTCGAGATGCAATACCCCCCCGGCACGTGGTTGTATTCACCAACCCAGAGGCTTTCTGAGCCCCATAGTTTAGGGATTTTTATGGAAGCTTCTTTACCGAGTCATAATCGATCATTAACTCCTTTTCCAGCCCCTCTCCCCACTCCAGAGGATGGGAGTGAGGCTGAAAGTTCCAAGCATCGTCTTCTATTTTTTTTAAGGTTGATTTTATTTATTTATTTATCACGAGCACACAAGCGGGGGGAGGGGCAGAGGGAGAACTTGGTTCCCTGCTGAGCAGGGCTGACATGGGGCTCAGTCCCAGGACCCCGTGGATCATGACCTGAGCCCAAGGCAGATGCTTAACTGACTGAGGCACCCAGGTGGGCCCCTCCCCCCTTTTTTCCAAGATTTTATTTTTAAGTAATTTCTACACCCAAAGTGGGGCTTGAACTCACAACCCCGAGATCAAGAGTTGCATGCTCTACCAGCTAAGCCAGCCAGGTGCTGCTGTAAGTACCAAGGTTCTAATCATGGCTTGGTCTCTTTGGGGAACAGCCCCCATCCAGGAGCCCACCCAGAGGCACCTCATTGGAAGAAAAGATGCTTCTGTTACTCAGGAAGTTCCAGGGGCTTTCGGAGCTCTGGGTCAGGAACTTGGGTCAAAGGCCAAATAGTAACAGGAACTGGGGGCAAAGACCAACATGTATATTTCTTATTATGGCACAAGGTTGGTTGTGATTTTTTTTCTTCTTTCCATGCACATCCCCAACTTTCTTCCTTTCTCATCCTCCTGCCTCCTCTTGCAGAAATTCTTGAATTCGCCAGAGAGATTGGTATTGATCCCATCAAGGAACCAGAGCTGATGTGGCTGGCACGGGAGGGCATTGTGGCCCCACTACCTGTGGAGTGGAAGCCCTGGTAAGTCGGCACGCATGTGGCTCGTTGGCTTTGCCTCTCATGGGCACAGGGAGCCTGGCACTGGAGGTCAGCTTTCATTTGCCACCTTTCGAAGCCTGCCCTGCATAGAGTTGGGGACAGCAGTTGGGGACAACGGGGTCCATTTTTCCGTTGCGCTGCCTGATGCTTTGGGTCTGAGCTTAGGCCAACTTGCTGGTCGAGGGTCCCGGGAGCTGCTGCCTTGGGTCAGGTCCCGCAACACCAGCATCTGTTTTTGACACCCTGGGGAAGTGTCATTGTTATTCTTTGCAGACTGCTATTGAGAGTGACAATATTGAGAGCCCCTCAGCATGTCCACGGTGGATGCTGGTGCTAAGAGGGATTGTAGTGGGGCCACACAGACTGGCAGGGATTCCGTCTCCCTTGGCAAACTGTCCCTGACTTTGAGTTGTGGATTCGTTCGTATTTTCAGTTTCTCTCTGAGCTCTCTGGATGATGAGGAGCGGACTCACTCAGCTTGTCAGGAAACCAGGTTGATGGTGAGGAGGCTAACGGGGTCTCGGCAGCTGTTGCCAGCGCATCCCCAACTGAAGACCCCATCGTGTCCCACTCGGGGATGGTGATGCGTGTTCTCCGTTCCGCGTGCCTGCTCCGTTCTCCTTGTCACAGGCGCAGCGTGTGCCAACTTGCCTCTTAAAGTGTGTGCTAAGTTTACTTCCTACCGCAGCGGGCCATTTGCCTGCACTTGTCCCCAGCTAGTGCCCAGGTGTCTTCTGGGGTCTTCCCTTCTGCTGGTCTTGTACGGTTTTGTGATCAAGGTGTAATTATTCTGTTCTTATCCATACCATTCAATGTGTTGGCCAAGCTTCAAAATGACTGCAACTGTGGCCTCACCATCCCTGCTGAAGAACTGTGCGCAATCCTTTTAGCTTCTCCCCGCGTGGCCGACTCCCTGTTCTCTTGATCTCTTCAGCTGCGTCTCCTTGGATCTCCTCCAGTTTCATGACATCTTTCTTATTAGAAATCCATCAGCACTGTGCACAGTATTCCCGGTGCTGAGGATGCACAGTTGTGTTTGTAGGATAAGTTCATAGGATGGTGGTTTCTGTTTTGTTTCCAGTATCTGCCCTGATACCCACATTTGCCTTACCTATTTTTTTCAAAGATTTATTTATTTATTTCAGAGAGAGTGAGAGTACCCGTGGGGGGAGGGGCAGAGGGAGAGAATCTTCAAGCAGTCCCCCATGGAGCCTGCCTCGGGGGCTCGATCCCATGACGCATGAGATCATGACCTGAGCCGAAACCAAGAGTCAGACGCTTACCTGACTGAGCCACTCAGGCGCCCCGACATTTTGCCTCATCTATTAATTTCTATCTTCTCTTTGTTTTTTAAGTTTGTATGTACGTGTGCTGTTTTGCTTTTGGATCCTTTTTTCTAATGAGAAACC